CAGGTGTCTCAAAGTAAATTTTGTAATTTTGCATTGGCAAATTAACTACCACTCTAACCAACTCCCTGTTTGAAAACAAATTGAGCTTTATCGAGTTCCTGTTCAATTTTCTTTCTTATTCTATTTTATATGATGTAAGTAGTATCTTGAATGTATGTGTTAAGGGACTTATTGTATTGGATTTTAATTTATATATTAAACAACATTTATTTATTAAAATTTGTATGTAAAATGTAACTGTGAATAGAATTATATTTTTAAAAAAAGAGCTGATACTGGGAATGGAAGCGGCCTCTGTTGTAGGTGAAAAGTTCAGAAGGTAGGATACATAAGGTTATTTCATTTATTTCTGTAAGCAACGATAAACCATTCCTTGACGAAATACGATTCCGAGCACAGTTCGGTATTATATAATTTGAAGTGCCGTATTTTTTAAAATTTTTTTTGTGATTTTCGTTAAAATTTGATTTCAAAACGTTTATTAAAAAAAAAAGTCCGATCATTTTACTACATCTAGGTGTGTCCAATATAAGTGTTATAACCAAGTTTCAAGTCTCTACATGTATTTATAACCAAATTACAACAAAAAACTCTCAAAAATTAAATTCGTTAAAAGCTCAAAAGTGGCTTAAAATCAGAGCAAATTTACTAGTAAAAAATGTCAACAGACTAGAAAAAAAAATAAAAAATAAAAATAAATAAACATCCTAGTAAAACCAATAGCTCAGAATCTAAAAAATACAAACCCAGTAAGGGGATGTGGTGGGGTTGGTTCTAGAATGGTTTTTAACTAAAATATAGTCAACTTGGTAAAGATTCGTAACAAAAAACAAAATACAAAATTTAAAGTAATACAAAAATTATTTTAGTAAAATTTCCCGTTCTCTCTGCGTTTTTTTTTCGATTATGCTCAATTTTTAATAAGACTAGAGAAAATAACAAAAAACGACCTTTTTACTCACGAACAAGATTTAAAACGCAAGAAAAAAAATGTCTTGTTTTTCTATCGGAGCAATATATCTGGTAGACAGTATAGGCTTACAAATTTAAAATAATAAAATCCTAGCGCCGTAAATTTATCACTTCGCATTTTTCGTCTTTTTCCGGTTTTTCTCAAACATTACAAAAACCAAAAAATTAATTACTTATCCATGAAGTCGATTAAAAATCCAATAAAAAAAACCCAATAGAATCCTCTCTTCGTTTAAAATCACCCTGTATTTTCACCCAAGCATAAAATATAGCCTGATGAGGAATATTATGTTTCCTATGCATAACAAATTACCATGACGATGTATTAAAAATGCGGCTGGACTATGAATTAATATATTCATCACACTAATGGCCTTCTGTAACATTGTTATTACGGTGCCTAAAGCCGGACCGCAAAAAGCATTTCTTCACTGTTTCGGGTTGAATGTTTTTTAAAGATGAAGACACCCAGTAAATTGCGTAGGCATAATATACAATAAACGTTGGCATCACAAACACAACTAAACGCACATAGGACAATGCATTAGTTATAATATTTCGTTGACGCGATAATATTTCAATGACTGAACGTATAAGATAAGATTTTCATATACAGTATAATAATGTACACATAAGATAACTTAATAATTCAGGTTTTTATTCAGGTATTCCAAAATAATTCTTAATTTAAGATAAAAATAACTAATATCAACGTCATAAAAGTGTCCGTTATTTAGAGTGTCCTGTATTTAGAGGTTTTCCTATGCATAAATAGTAAAAATGTTCCCGTCCCCGAAAAAACGTCCGCTATTTAGAGGTGTCCGTTAAGGGAGTTTTCACTGTATATTCAATACTGAAAATGAACACAAAATCTACGATACTATTAAATTTTACGACTACCGGATTATCTTTTTAGTATGATAAGTCTACCTAAATATAATGGTAATTCTGTATTTGATACTTCTTTTAGATAAATCCCTCCGAT